CAATATCTGTGAAAGTGCTTAGTTATAGAAATATAATTATGATTTTAGAATTGTTGTGATGTGTGTATTGTTTTGTATATTCAACAATATTATATTGTTATAATAATTATGAAATTATTATTTTAATATAACCTTTAATTTGTTTTTGGTTTATGGGATCTATAATGTTGTCATTCTCAAATCATATATCAAAACCATTATTATTTACTATACATGTGATTGGCAGTTCTGAGTTGTTGTTTTTATGTGTTATTGCAGGTTTTGATTACCACTCCAGTTACTATTGTCCAGAAGCCAGTTCTAACAAAGGCTGGTTCTGATGCAGCCAAGTCCACTGATGCTGATGATGCTCCTACCACCACTGTGTTTGTGGGGAACATTTCAGACAAAGTTTCAGACCTCTTGGTTAGACAGCTGCTAGCGGTGAGTTTAGTTTATCAGTAAATAATCACCACTAAGTGTGGAGTAAATTAATAATGTTCTGTCAAGCACCTTTGAATGTCCAGAAAAGCTCTATATAAAATTGATGCATTATTAATGTGAAGGTTATTGCTTGTACAAACCATTCTGTGTCATCTGCATGTTGGCGGAGAATATAACTTTCCAGGGATGATAAGCAACTATTAATTAATTCTTCATTCGTTCTTCTTATCCAATTCAATAATTTCACTTGTGAATCAATAAAGTTCAAGTATAAAGTTTATGAACTATAAGGTAGCCTTATGTTTAATGGGCATTTGTTGAGGGTGTATCTTGCCAGATATTATAGTTGGTTTGAGCTGTTAATAGTTTTAATGGTTTAGGCTGCTTGAAACGTGTTGAGATAACTGTCAAATACCTTGATCTATTAATGCAGAAATGTGGTGTTGTTTTAAACTGGAAACGTGTGCAAGGAGCTTCTGGCAAACTACAAGGTAAGTTTAAATTTTCTTAAAAAGTTTAGTTTCTTGGGGACTGAAGGTGGAAATTAACAATTTTGCTGGCACAAACATGTAAATTCCTTGTGTAGCTCAATGTTTTTATGTACATTGTCCCTGATAAATAAACAAATAAACTCTTGTTTGGACATTTATTCAACCAAATGTGTTTTATACTGAAACCATATGTGTGTATTATGCCACAGGTTTTGGGTTCTGTGAGTACAAAGAACCAGAATCTACCCTCCGTGCGCTTAGACTTCTGCATGAGTTACTTCTTGGAGACAAAAAGCTTTTGGTGAAAGTGGATGCCAAGACAAAGGCCCAGCTGGATGAGTGGAAAGCCAAGAAGAAAGGCGTCAATGGAGTATGTATACAAGTTGAAAAGTAATAAAAAACTTACTATAGAACAGGCATAACATTAGAGAAGATGGTGTGATTAGAACAAAAGCCAGCAGAGTTTACTTTATTCTGCCCTAAACACCTTTGTCTCTAAATGTTAACTCTATTCATTTCAATAACAATTTTGAGAAAAGTTTTGCTTTCTGTATATGACATTAAGTGAGTTCATTTGTGTAAAATATTCAATGTTCAATGCTCTGGAGGGCCTGAAAACAGCATTGTAGTTTGTATTAAACTCATTTGCTGTCAAGAGTGGCAGCCCCATGCAAAATACTACAGCCCAATTGATGATGACGCACATGGCAAATTGAATATTGCATTGTCCAAAATGTACTTTAAACTTGCAGGAGGCAGCTGGTGAATCCAAAGATGCGGAAGAAGAGGTTTTGGATGATGACACGTTGCGCCGTGATCAGGAAGTGAAAGTGGCAATTAGCGCTTTGCTACGAGAATATGCAACTGACCACAGTGCTACCTCACAGGACGATGATAGTCAATCTCGCATCAAGAAACTGAGAGAGAAGAAAGATGAGGTAACATTTAAGTTGCATTTGGATAAAAGAAATGTCAATAGTTGAGAAAAAGTGATGCTAAAATGTGTACTGAATGTGACTGGCTTCTGTTACTTGCACAGGTGGATATCAGTGGTATTGAGATAGAAGATGACAAACGAGACCTGATTTCCCGAGAGATCAGTAAATTCAGAGATACACACAAGGTATGTCACGTTTATGCATTTTATTACAGTTTATAAGCCAGCAGACTCCTGTCCTAACTGCAAATAAATGGTGAAGGGTTGTTTGTTGCAATGCAGAAATAAAGTTTAGATGTAATTCCTATTCCAAGTCAGTGCCTCTTAGGCAAACCAGTCATTTATTTAAAAAAGTATATACCTTATGACACAGTGTTAAAGATAATCTGATCAGCAAATTGTAGAATTTGGGGTCCAGCGAAATCAAGCAGGTTTACTGATACATTGTAGAATGTTGTACCTAAAATTGTAACATACAAATATTGCAAAGATTCATGTTTGTTTAAGAAAGTATATCAGTATTGAAGTCTCATTGTTTGACAAAGTATTGTTTGTGTTTTCTGGCACATAACAGTCACAGCATTGGGAACGTATTACATAAATGTCTTAGTTGGGCCACTGGCTACATCAAATCTGGATTTGTTTTAATCTATTTGGCTGACAGCACTGACGCCAAATTCTTTCATCGCTACATGAGTCCATTTCATTTAAACCTAATACAAAATAAACCAAGAAATCCAAATGCACGTTTTCCTCTTATATACTGCTGTCAGTGTTGTAGAATATGCTGATAAGAAAACCAAGTAGTTAAAATAATTGTATATTAGACAACAAGTACACAATGCAGCTACTATATAGGACAAAGTTATGTTTGCAGTTCTAGTTTTATACATTTGCTTGAACTCACATTGATTTAAAAAAAAAAAAAAGAGAGAGAACAGAACCATGTGACCGATGTATTTGCCTGGAGCCTGACTTTTATTGGAATTGTTACATCAGGTCCATAATCTGTGATCATTGCAAATCACAGAGGGCAGGTTGACCTGTTACATACATGAACAACATTAATTCGATATATGTGCATGTTATAAGCTTAAAGCACTCAATAGAATATAGTGGAAAAAGGAAATGGGCAAGTCACTGACAATTTGATGGGTGAATGCCTTTTACAGTAATATTCAAATTAAGTAGGTATAGAAAATGAAATATAGGGATTATTTTTATTATAAAATAACTTGGTACCCAATAAAATAGCATTCTACACAAAGTATTTTTCCTTTTCTTGTGGTTTAATATTGTGGTCAATATTCAATATATACTAGTTTAATACTGTACAATTCTTTAATGGCTACCTGTATAATATGCCTATAATCAGCATAGACTGTACAAAGAAGTGGACTAAGGGAGTGTGATGTCACCTACAGCGTTCAGCTCCAGTCAAATGAAGCCCATGATGCTTTCAGTTATAGGGGTGAATTTGGAACCAAGTTCCATATCAAGAATTTATTTATGGACATAATAGCGAAATAAAAACACCAGAATCATGTAGAGCAGGTTAATATGAACATTTTAAAACATTTACAGAGAGAGGGATGACAATTTTTAGGTGCTAAGTCAATTGGAAACAGTTGCTGGAGCCCGAAGTGCCCACATGATCACTTCCTATTTGGAAGGCAATGGCTAGTAGGTTAGCTATTTACATTTATTTATACAGTCTATGATAGTATGTCATTCTCCACGCAACACTGAATTTCAAATATTTATTTTTTACGTGTTGTATATTATGTAGTCTGTGGTGCATGACTGTATTTTTAATTTCTTGCAGAAACTGGAAGAGGAGAAAGGAAAAAGAGAAAAGGAACGACAGGATCTTGAAAAGGAAAGAAAAGAGAGAGACAAGAAGCGCGAACACGAGGGCGAGCGCCGCGACAGAGATCGAGACAGAGAGCGAGATCGAGACAGAGATCGGGAGAGAGATCGGGAACGGGACCGGGATCGGGAAAGAGAACGGGAGAGAGAGAGGGAGAGAGACAGAGAGAGAGACAGAGAGAGAGAGCGTGAACGAGAGACCAGAGAACGAGACCGCACCAGAGAGAGGACGAGAGAGAGGGAGCGAGAAAAGGACAGAGACAGGAGTCGAGAAGTCAGCGAAGACCGCAAGTCCAGGTCAGTCATGTTTTGTCGGGATAGTATTATATCAATTAGGTGGCATTTCAAACTGCTTTATAGGTGCACTGTGTAACTTGTCTGGTGGAGGGTTTGTCACCTGCTTGTCTCTATGGAGGTGAGCCTAAAATGCCCCAGTCTGGCCATAAACTTAAGAATTTCCATGGAGACTTTCAAGCCAAATTACTGGTTAAATTTGTGGAGAGGTGACTCCACTCACAGTAAAAATATAAGTTTTTTAAGATACTTTTGAGCAATAAAAATTACCTGTAGTTCCATAAGGGTAGAGGCATAAATGCAAGGTAGAGGAGTTTTCTACCATACTGTGGAATTTAAACCAGAGCATTGACATCTCCATGGAGATAGACAGGTTGTGGACCCTCTCCAGAAAAGTAACACAGTGCACCTTTACTAGTGTTACTACACTTGACAGCACAAAAAACTCAATATTTTACCTACAGTACAAACATATTATAATGGTATATTATGAAATTCTCTAATACTTGAGTATGTGTATGTTAAGTAAGTTTTATTTATTAAAGTTGTAACATTATTTATAACATAATTGCTGATAAATACATTCATTACAAAGACTGTAGCTGGAATGTTTGGATCTGAGGACAGCAACTGCGCACAACCATTTACCCAGCATTCATTAGTTTAGGCATTTAGGATGAACCTCTTTATTGTTTTTAAATGTAAAAGAATATATATTTTTTCTCACTATTTAGGGAAAGAACAAGAAAAGATGAAAAAATAGACCCTAATGAAGATATTGAAGATGTCTATGAAAGAAGAAGACTAGAGCGGCGACTTCGAGACAAGGAGGCTGCCTACCAGGAGGTGTGTAGATATTTTTGTGTTTTAGTGTTCAGAAAATAAGAGGAAGAGGAGAAAATGGACACAACAATGAAGTACAATAAGAAAAAGAAAGAAATCTAATTCATTCATTTGCTTGTTATTTTTCTGCATTTCATAGCGTCTTAAAAAACTGGGAAATTCGCGAGAAAAAGAAAGAACGCGATTATGAAAAAGAAATGGAGCGTGAGAAGGAAAGACGCCGTGAAAGGGTAAAGATTAAATCTTTAAAATGATAAAATTTGAAGATTAACACATTGTATTGTAAACTACTACATCTTCTTTATTATAGATTTTAACAACATATTTTAATATTTTCAGGTGAAGGAGGCAAAGAGACTAAAAGAATTCCTAGAAGATTACGAGGACGGCAGAGACGACCCAAAGTACTTCAGGTGGATATTTTCACTTCTTTAAACTTTCAAAGATATATTTCCTGTATTTTATCTCTCATTAGTTTTTTGTCTTTTCCAACGACAGGGGCAGCGCGCTCCAGAAGAGACTTCGAGACCGAGAGAAGGAGGTAGAGATGGATGAGCGAGACAGAAAGAAAGAGAAGGAAGAAATGGAGGAGATCAGACAGAGGCTTTTGGCTGAAGGGCACCCAGACCCTGAGGCAGAACTGAGGAGGGTAAGTCCCATCTGCATCTTATACATTTTTAGTTTTTTAATGTTATTTTATATGTGTTTTTTTTGTATATAAATGTTTCCTGTATGCTTTGCTAAAATAGGTTTCCCTTATATCTTTTTGCAGTTTTGCTAGCAAATACTGTGTCTTTACTATTATGTAAATAAATAGTTAATGTATATTATTACATCAAGATTTAGGTCACCATGCAAATTTTAAAACCGCTGTATTGGCATGTTCTATACATAGTAAGAGTTCAGGAATGGGATATTTATTTCTAGAAGGCATTATCTTACCTAAATCATTACAGCCTTTGTCATTTGTTAATTATTATGACTTTCTACTGTTACGTAGGCATGAAATATTAAATTTAAAACTCGGTATTAGAAACAACGTCTAGAAGAGAAGAGAACATGATGGATAAGTAGCTTTTTTCTGCACAATTTGGTATAACGGCAATTATCTTGGTTAGCAATTATCACAATTTTACAAAATGTACCACTAACAATAGTACAATACTATTTTTATCGCAATGGTCCCACTACTACTGCTGCTACTCCTACTAATACTAGTACTGCTACTGCTACTACTTCTACTACTACTACTATTACTACTACTACTACTACTACTACTACTACTACTACTACTACTACTACTACTACTACTACTACTACTACTACTACTACTACTACTACTACTACTACTACTACTGCTACTACTACTACTACTGCACTACTACTACTACTACTACGACTACTGCTACTACTACTACTGCTACTACTACTACTACTACTATAAACCCAAACCATAATGTGAGAGGAAAGAGTGAATATTTCATTGGTTCTACACATGCAGGTGCTGTAAAGTCATGGAAAATTCACTTCAGGTCATGAAAAAGTCATGGAAAAGTTTTGAAGTGTTGCCAGTGAACAAGAGTCTAAAGGAAGAGTTTTTATTCTCTTCGTGGGATCAGAGTCAGTGTTGAGAATCGAGTTTATTCCTCCTCAGACTGTGACGCTCTCATTTATAAAACTTTACTTTTTAAATAAATCTACAAACTTCTGCTCCACAAATGTTCCTCGTTCTCGGTCTTTGTCTGGGATCAGCTCCACAAACTCGTCACATTAATCTTCTGGTTTAAAGTTTAGGGTTTTTTTTTGTTCAGCTGAGTCGCTCTCGTGTCTTTGTGGGATGAAAAATGACTCCACTTTATGAAGCAACTGTAAAAAAAAAAAAAAAAAAAAAATCATTTCACTTTAGTTTTTACTGTACAGACTGAACTTTGTGACTTTAGGCCGAGGAATGAGAAAGATCTGAAACATAAACACAATGGAACACATCTGCACCTGACACTCTCACCTGTCGCACCTGTCTCACCTGTCTCACCTGTCTCACCTGTCTCACCTGTCTCACCTGACACTCTCATCTGTCTCACCTGTCTCACCTGACACACTCACCTGTCTCACCTGTCTCACCTGTCTCACCTCACCTGTCTCACCTGTCTCACCTGACACTCTCACCTGTCTCATCTGTCTCACCTGACACTCACCTGTCTCACCTGTCTCACCTGTCTCACCTGTCTCACCTGTCTCACCTGTCTCACCTGTCTCACCTGACACTCTCACCTGTCTCACCTGTCTCACCTGTCTCACCTGTCTCACCTGACTCTCACCTGTCTCACCTGACACTCTCACCTGTCTCACCTGTCTCACCTGTCTCACCTGACACTCTCACCTGTCTCACCTGTCTCACCTGTCTCACCTGTCACTGTCTCATCTGTCTCACCTGACACTCTCACCTGTCTCACCTCACCTGTCTCACCTGTCTCACCTGACACTCTCATCTGTCTCACCTGACACTCTCACCTGTCTCACCTGTCTCACCTGTCTCACCTGACACTCTCACCTGTCTCACCTGTTTCACCTGTCTCACCTGACACTCTCACCTGTCTCACCTGTTTCACCTGTCTCACCTGACACTCTCACCTGTCTCACCTGTCTCACCTGTCTCACCTGACACTGTCTCACCTGTCTCACCTGTTCACCTGTCTCACCTGACACTCTCACCTGTCTCAGTTCAGGTTAAAGAGGAAGTTCCATGTTCCTTTTATTGTTTGAAAAATGCTGTATTCTGTTTTTCTCTGAGTCTCCTCCCCTCTCTTTGCTCTCCACGCTAAGTCACTCCCCCTTCAGAGCGCTCCCACAGCACAATCAGCGTTTGTCCCACTCATCTATTTTTTTTTCTATTACTATTACTACTACTGCAAATACTACTGCTACTATACATCACACTGTATTAGTTTGATGTACAAATACTATAGTAATACTACTACTACTACTACGATTACGACTACAATTGCTACTACTGCAAATAATACTATGACTACTACTACAACTATACTACTTCTACTACTACTTCTACTACTAATACTACTACTAGTACTAGTACTAGTACTACTACCACTATACTACTTCTACTACTACTTCTACTACTACTTCTACTACTACTACTACTACTACTACTACTACTATACTACTACACTATTTCTACTACTCTACTAATACTACTACGGCTATAACTATGACTACAACTACTACTACTACAACTGCTACTGTACATCAGACTGTATGAGTTTGATGTACAAATAGTACTACTACTACTACTACTTCTACTGCAAATACTACTCCTCCTCCTCCTACTACTCTACTACTACTACTACTACTACTACTACTACTACTACTACTACTACTACTCTACTACTAATCTACTCTACTATAATAATAATAATAGTAAAAAAAACATAAAAAACACAAATTAAAAACTAAAAGTGTATAAACAACTCAAATGATCAAACCATATTTACAAATTTAAAGATAAATAATAATAATGATTATTTTTATTATTTTTATATTCCTGTTATCTGTGAGCAAATATTCCATTTTCTATTATGCTCCAATTTTAATTAGTTATTCTCCATGACAGTTAGTTTTTCTAGATTGTACTGATTGTGAATTATGTTTTTAAAATATTCTAAACATAAATTTGATATTGTGGAAGCCTTAAAAATAAAAATGTGTCCTAACAAAATAATTGTTTTCAGACTTTTCAGAACCTCTTCTCAAAAATGCACAACGTGATGTTTTTGGGGGAAATTGTAAAAAAAAAATTCCCATTGACTGTTTCTGTCTATTTATGGAGAATTGTCTTGTGGGCGGAGCCTCGCATTGACTCGTACTGTAGCTAACTGTAAGGAGGGTTTGTATAGGGCCTGGGAGAGATCACTAGATTACTCAAACATGCATGGATGAGTCTAAAACAAGGTTAGAACATGAGAGAAAAATCCAGAAAGTCAGTTTTGCAGAACAGCTCGTCTGTAAACTCTTTAAACTCTTCAGATTCTCCACGTTTGTCTTTTAATCGTCTTTTATTCTGATAATATTTGTTAATAATATTTGTGTGTTTTTAATGTTTTTTTCAGACGTACGTGGCGAACATCCTGATCGCCGTGAACCCGTACTACGACATCCCCAAACTCTACTCCCCCGAAACCATCAAACAGTATCAGGGACGCTCTCTGGGGACGCTGCCTCCTCATGTATACGCTATAGGTACTGCAAATACTACAAGTACTACTACAACAACTACTCAAATACTACTACTACTACTACTACTCAAATACTACTACTACTACTACTACTACTCTAATACTACTACTACTACTGCTACTGTACATCAGACAGTTTAGTCCTGGTTTAGACTCCGACTCTGGAGCAGATGGATTTTAATGAGGCTGTGGTTTCAACTGTGGCCTCCAGAGGGCGACGTGAGACTGTCAAAGAACCTGCAGAGTCTGTGTGTTAGACCTGGTTTAGACCTGGTTTAGACCTGGTTTAGATCTGGTTTAGACCTGGTTTAGACCTGGTTTAGGCCTCCCTGGTTTAGACCTGGTTTAGTCCTGGTTTAGACCTGGTTTAGACCTCTGGTTTTAGTCCTGGTTTAGTCCTGGTTTAGACCTGGTTTAGACCTGGTTTTAGACCTGGTTTAGACCTGGCCTGGTTTAGTCCTGGTTTAGACCTGGTTTAGTCCTGGTTTAGACCTGGTTTAGACCTCCTGGTTTAGACCTGGTTTAGAGATCTGGTTTAGCTGGTTTAGACCTGGTTTAGACCTGGTTTAGTCCTGGTTTAGACCTGGTTTAGATGGTTTAGAGACCTGGTTTAGATCCTGGTTTAGACCTGGTTTAGACCTCCTGGTTTAGACCTGGTTTAGACCTGGTTTAGTAGACGGTTTAGACCTGGTTTAGACCTCCTGGTTTAGACCTGGTTTAGACCTGGTTTAGACCTGGTTTAGACCTGGTTTAGTCCTGGTTTAGACCTGGTTTAGAGGTTTAGTCCTGGTTTAGACCTGGTTTAGTCCTGGTTTAGACCTGGTTTAGACCTGGTTTAGTCCTGGTTTAGACCTGGTTTAGACCTGGTTTAGTCCTGGTTTAGAGGTCTGGTTTAGACCTGGTTTAGACCTGGTTTAGACCTGGTTTAGAAGCCTGGTTTACCTGGTTTAGAGGTTTAGTCATGGTTTAGAGGTTTCTGGTTTAAGATGGTTTAGTCCTGGTTTAGTCCTGGTTTAGACCTCCCTGGTTTATCGTTTCTGGAGAATCTGGAGCCGGAAAAACCGAAAACACAAAGTTTGTGCTCAGGTCAGAACCACGAGAACCACTAGAACCACTAGAACCACTAGAACCACGAGAACCACTAGAACCACTAGAACCACTAGAACCACTAGAACCACTAGAACCACGAGAACCACTAGAACCATGAGAACGTCTCTGTGAAACCGAGAAGGACGAACATTTTATATAAATACTTTCTAAAACAGAACAGAAAAATAAAAGTCTCCTCCGCTTTTGTTTCAGATATTTGACCACGTCGTACGGGACCGGACAGGACATCGATGAGAGGATCGTGGAAGGTACCAAATCCTCTTTTTACCTGTGCTCACCTGTGCTCACCTGTACTCACCTGTACTCACTGTACTCACCTGTACACCTCTGTGTTCACTGTGCTCACCTGTACTCACTGTACTCACCCTGTACTCACCTGTGCTCACCTGTGCTCACCTGTACTCACCTGTGCTCACCTGTACTCACCTGTACTCACCTGTACTCACCTGTACTCACCTGTGCTCACCTGTACTCACCTGTACTCACCTGTACTCACCTGTACTCACCTGTACTCACCTGTGCTCACCTGTGCTCACCTGTGCTCACCTGTACTCACCTGTACTCACCTGTACTCACCTGTACTCACCTGTACTCACCTGTACTCACCTGTGCTCACCTGTACTCACCTGTACTCACCTGTGCTCACCTGTGCTCACCTGTGCTCACCTGTGCTCTCACCTGTACTCACCTGTACTCACCTGTACTCACCTGTGCTCACCTGTACTCACCTGTACTCTCCTGTGCTCACCTGTGCTCACCTGTACTCACCTGTACTCTCCTGTACTCACCTGTACTCACCTGTACTCACCTGTACTCACCTGTACTCACCTGTACTCACCTGTACTCACCTGTGCTCACCTGTACTCACCTGTACTCACCTGTACTCACCTGTGCTCACCTGTACCTGTACTCACCTGTACTCACCTGTACTCACCTGTACTCACCTGTACTCACCTGTACTCACCTGTACTCACCTGTACTCACCTGTACTCACCTGTACTCACCTGTGCTCACCTGTACTCACCTGTAGCGTTTTAAAATCATGTGTTTTCCTCTGCGATGGAGCTCACGGTCTCCATCTCTCCCATCTCATTTTTCTCTTTGTGGTTTCTGAGGAGTTTAAGACTCGTCATTTAATTCAGTAAATATTTCTGAAACTGAAACTGCAGCGAGACGCTCGACGTCAACAACATAAAGATGTTTGTGTAATTCCTCTGTCGTCCTGGTCGGAGAAACTAAATTCTGTAACTGGACAAAAGATGGAACAGTTTTCTGTGAACTGAACCAGCAGCTTTGTCCTGGACCGAACTGAATTTCTCTTTTGCGAACATCATAAAGACTCACGTCACGAATAAAAGTTGAGGAGATGAGACGTGTGCAGCTCAACGTCAGCGCTTCAGCTTCAGAGTTTTCGTGTTTAGAATCTTAAACTCTGAAGAAATAAAAGAAAACAGTGATTTGTTTTTGCTGGAGGTTGTAGCTCCACCTGGAGGTCAACAAGCAGAACTCTGTGGACAGGATGTGCTCCGAGCTTGATAATGTTTTTATTTAGACCTTTTAAAGACAGAAAACCCACTGAACCTGCAGAAAAAATAAAAGTTAAACTGCGTGTTAAAAGGCCGCGAGCTCCTGACTCACGCACAGGAACCTTCAAGATCTTCTGAAGTTTTTACATTTTTTTGTTGTTGGTCTGAATCATGTTTTGGTGTCACGGACTTGGCCTCTGTCGTGTTTTATATAACAACTTAATAACTGAAGTATTTTCTAATTTTGACTTGGTGGGATAAAACATGTTGCAAATTTAAATTAAGAAGCAAATTGTGAAGAAAAGCGGAAAAATATGGTGAAAATTACAGAACTGATGACTTCACGCTGAGAGAATCAAAACTTCAGCACAATTTCCACACAAGAAACAATTTTTTCTGATACTTTAAATCTGATTTCAACAAAAATAAATGTGTTTTTTTGTATATATTTTTTTTGTGATATAACATTATCTGTGGCGTTAGAGGAGTTTTGTTCTGTTCTGCATCACGGTTGCCTGGTAACAGTGATGTAATTCCCCAGTGCGACGTCAATCAATCAATCAATCAAACTTTATTTGTGTGGCACTTTTCATACATTTGAAAGTTGAAGTTTTCGTTTGAAGAGCTTCACGAGCAAAAGAAAAATGACAAGGATTAAAAAAACAAAACAACAGAACCCCCCAGCCCCGGGGTTTAAACCACGTGTACAGACGTTTAAACAGAAATATAAAATGTAAAACTTCTAAAGGTTTGAGGAAAAAAAAAAAAAAAAAGATAAAATTAGATGGAGACTAAGTAAAATAATAATAATAATTTAATTTAAAACAAATGTAACAAGAACAACTAGAACAACATTTAAAACACGTAAAAGTTTCAATTAAAAAGATACATTTTGAGTAGAGCTGGTATCATTAAGACATTATCGATATGATACAAACCTAGATACATAGGTCACGATACGATATGTTTTTCGATACAGTGCACTTTCAGTTCAATACGATTCAATATGATATATTTCAAATCGATTGGATATGGTTCAGTGAAAAATAAAAGCTAAAAATCTTGGCTGTGATACTAAAAGTCGACAAAGTTTGTGCAGTTGTTAAAATGAACAACACAAATTTTACTTAAAACTGTAAAAATGTCGAAACAACTGCAGCTCTTACACAAAATAATTTTGTAAAATATACCTAAAAATACTCTTGCCGATATATCGATACAGCAGCCCGCGATATCGATACTGTATCATCACATCAATATATATTAATATTGAAATATCGATATATTTTTGCTAGTTTTGGGTTTGCATTTAAAAATCTGAACACTCGCAGCAGACCTCAGGTCCTCAGGTCGACTGTTCACAGACGCAGGCCGTAAAATCTGAACGTCGCCTCAGTGTGAGTTTTAGTTTAAACTCTTGGGACAGTTTAAAGTCGAGACCTGAGGAGCTGAGAGTCCGAGAGGCTCATGTGATAAAAACAGATCAGATAAATAAACAGGACTAAGGCTGCGTTCAGATGCACCTGAAGTGACCCAAATCTGATTTTTTGTCTCTATGTTCCTGTATCTGATCTTTTATTGACAGTCTGAACGGCACAGATCTGATTTTTTCAAACGTGACCCAGGACACTTGGATCTGTGCTCCTGAATCCGATACATATCTGATCTTTTGACTTGCGACGTCAGTCTGAACGGCCAAAGTGCATCCATCCACCTACACGTCATTAACAAGCGACAAACGTCACTATTCTGCACTGAAGCAGGCGGAAACCGGAACTGTAAAATCTCCAGGTGCTCGATGCTCGCGACCGTGTTTGGACAACTTCCATAAACACAGAGACGCTCGCTGCAGGTGACGCATGGGGTTGACGTCGTCGTGTCTCCAGTGTCACATGTGGGACACTTTCGGGCCGTTTACCGTTCACACTGGAGTCACAGACAAGTCGCATTTAACTGGAAATGTGAACGACCTCGAAAAAACATCGGATTTCACAAAAAAATTGGAATTGAGCGTTAAGCCCTGCAGTCTGAATGTAGCCTTAGATCTGTTAATAGCAAGAAGTTGCTTTATAAATCAATAAAACAACTTTAAAATCTATACTAAAATCATAAAATGATGTGTGTGTGTCTGTGTGTGTCTGTGTGTGTGTGTCTGTGTGTCTCTGTGTGTGTGTCTGTGTGTGTCTCTGTGTGTGTGTGTGTGTCTGTGTCTGTGCTCAGCGAACCCCCTGCTGGAGGCTTTTGGAAACGCCAAGACTGTTCGGAACAACAACAGCAGCCGCTTCGGGAAGTTTGTGGAAATCCACTTTAACGAGAAGGTGAGATTTAATTATACTGTTTATACACCTGTCTGCTCCTGTCTGCTCCTGTCTGCTCCTGTCTGCTCCTGTCTCTGCTCCTGTCTCTGCTCCTGTCTGCTCCTGTCTGCTCCTGTCTGCTCCTGTCTGCTCCTGTCTGCTCCTGTCTCTCCTGTCTGCTGTCTGCTCCTGTCTGCTCCTGTCTGCTCCTGTCTCTGCTCCTGTCTGCTCCTGTCCCTGCTCCTGTCTGCTCCTGTCTGCTCCTGTCTCTGTCTGTCTGCTCCTGTCTGCTCCTGTCTGCTCCTGTCTGCTCCTGTCTACTCCTGTCTGCTCCTGTCTCTGCTCCTGTCTGCTCCTGTCTCTGCTCCTGTCTGCTCCTGTCTGCTCCTGTCTCTGCTCCTGTCTGCTCCTGTCTGCTCCTGTCTGCTCCTGTCTGCTCCTGTCTGCTCTAGAGTGTAGATTGGGTAGATTTAATGTGTTGTGGCTTTTGTGTTTGCGTTGTGGTGTTTGCATTAAAGTCCTGCGGTCATTTCCGTTGTGGCTTTTTTTTTTGGTGTGTTGTGGCTAGGGATGGGCATGATTAATCGATTAATCGATAATTGATCATTAAGAATTTCATCGATTCCGTTCATTTTAATGGACAAACTGAATGTATGTGTGTGTGTCGTGACCAAACAGGTGTGTACATGTGTCTCTGCATCAGAAGGAGCGAGACACAAACAGTGGGTCAGTCTGTAACGAACCGAAGCACAAATGTGGATTTAACCAGGATTTGTAGAAGAAATTCCACACTTTCCGTTGCGTTGGGACAAGTGTGAGTCCATGTGCACAGTGGATAAAGCAGCACATATGTTTCTGTGTCCAGTGGGAAAAAGTTTTTCCAGGTGAGAGTCGCTCAATGTGGATGACGAGGCCCCGCCCCCCTCCCCCCGTACGCTGTCCTGGTTTTGACAAACACAAATCTGGTCACACTGACCTGTATTCACCTGAGTCATGTCTTTTAATCCAACACAAGTTGAACCACATCAGCGACACAAGAGCTGGAGTTTTATCTTCACTTAGTTTATGTAAATTAGTGATGTGGTTTTAAGTTTTGTTTCTGTGAGATTTGAACAAAACTGAATTAAACACATTATAATGTCAAACAGCTGATGTGGATCTAGAGTCGTTATGTTTATATGTCGTAAAGTTGAATTTATTGATGCAGATTAGTGCAGATAGTAATAATAATGATGATCATTTTAATATAAAAACGTTAATGATTAATCGATAATCGATCGTTAATTCTTCCGACGATCGATTAAGACAATTTCATCGAATGCCCGTCCCTAGTTGTGGCTTTTGTGTTTGTTGCGGCGTTGGCGTTTGTCGTGACCCTCTCGGCTTCTGTAGTTTAGGGCCCCTGGGCTGAAAAACGTTGAAGACTCCTGCTTTAAAAGTCTGGAGTTTGAAGTGTTGGTGGATTAAAGATGGAACCAGGACTAAAAAGTAAAGTTAGTCTGGGTGAGTCGTTCAGAGTTTGTTGTAAAATCTTTGTTAGTTTGAAGTCCAGCTGTTCTTCTGCAGTTCGGTCGATTCCGGTGAAATAAAGTTTAATGTTCCGTGTTCTAGAAGGTTCTACAGGGACGCTAAGGCTAAAGTTAGCTCCAGACTGTTCTCCGCTGCGAGCCGTAAAAGGAAACGAGTGAGTTTAATTAGACTCGTTTAGTGAAATCTCTGACCTCAGACTCGGAGCCTCTGGTTTCCTCATTAAAACCGCTTCACTCTGAGTTTTATTGGATTTTAACTCTTTAAATTTCACTCCGGCTCACAGAGGACGTCAGACTGAAACCTGCCGCTTTTCCAGAACTTTTATTTAGTTTATTTTCATTGTAATTAAAATAAAAAACTTCATGAACTCTAACACATATTTAGATCTTCTCCGTGTTCCTTTTATCGACTCTGTTCACGTTTATCGTAAAACATTTGGAAACATTTGGAAACATTTGGAAACATCTGGAAACGATGATGGACGGATGACGGTTTCCGGCGTTGTTCCCGACCAGGAGTGTCGTGGTCCTGGTCTTCTCCCGACGTGAGATATAAAAAAAATAACAAATACTTTTTTTAAAATAGCTAAAACTTAAATGTCAAACAAGAGCGAACCAGGACCAAACCTGGACTGAACCTGGACTAAAACAGGACTAAAACAGGACTGAACCAGGACTAAACCTGGACTAAACCAGGGCTAGACCAGGGCTAAACCTGGACTAAACCAGGGCTAGACCAGGGCTAGAGTAGGGTTAGACAAGGACTAAACCAGGACTAAAACGGGACTAAAACGGGACTAAAACGGGACTAAAACAGGACTGAAGTAGAACAAAACCAGGACTAAAACAGGTCTAAACCAGGGTTAGACCAGGGTTAGACAAGGACTAAAACAGGACTGAACTAGGAATAATCCAGGACTAAAACAGGACTAAAACAGGTCTTAAACAGGACTAAAGTAGGACTATATCAGGACTAAACCAAGACTAAAACAGGACTGAAACAGGACTAAAACAGGACTAAACCAGGACTGAGCTAGGACTAAAACAGGACTAAAACAGGTCTAAAACAGGACTAAAGTAGGACTAAAGTAGGACTATATCAGGACTAATCCAGGACTGAACCAGGACTGAACCAGGACTAAACCAGGACTAAACCAGGTCTAAACCAGGTCTAAACCAGGTCTAAACCAGGTCTAAACCAGGTCTAAACCAGGTCTAAACCAGGACTAAACCAGGACTAAACCAGGACTAAACCAGGACTAAACCAGGTAAACCAGTCTAAACCAGGACTAAACCAGGACTAAACCAGGACTAAACCAGGACTAAACCAGGACTAAACCAGGTCTAAACCAGGTCTAAACCAGGTCTAAACCAGTACTAAACCAGGTCTAAACCAGTACTAAACCAGGGCCTGTGAGTCCTTCTCTACTGTCTTAAAAAAAATCTCTGAATCACAGACTGATGTTAATTATTTTTATTTTATTATTATTATTATTTTCATATTAAAGAATTTGACCAATCACATTTCGGCATCATCTGTTGCCGGGCAGATTCAGAGTCAAAGAAAGTCTGTCTGAGGCCTTCACGATCCAACACAAAATACACGTCCATGAAACTGAGAGGGTCGGTGTGTTGCTCGTGGGCACGGGGGCAGACTCAAACCCCTGACTCTCTGTGTGTTTTTGACAGAACGCGGTGGTGGGAGGGTCGGTGTGTTGCTCAGGGGCACAGGGGCAGACTCAAACCCCTGACCCTCTGTGTGTTTTTGACAGAACGCGGTGGTGGGAGGGTCGGTGTGTTGCTCAGGGGCACGGGGGCAGACTCAAACCCCTGACCCTCTGTGTGTTTTTGACAGAACGCGGTGGTGGGGGGGTCGGTGTGTTGCTCAGGGGCACGGGGGCAGACTCAAACCCCTGACCCTCTGTGTGTTTTTGACAGAACGCGGTGGTGGGAGGGTCGGTGTGTTGCTCAGGGGCACGGGGGCAGACTCAAACCCCTGACCCTCTGGTGTTTTTGACAGAACGCGGTGGTGGGGGGGTCGGTGTGTTGCTCAGGGGCACGGGGGCAGACTCACACCCCTGACCCTCTGGTGTTTTTGACAGAACGCGGTGGTGGGGGGTCGGTGTGTTGCTCAGGGGCACGGGGGCAGACTCAAACCCCTGACCCTCTGTGTGTTTTTGACAGAACGCGGTGGTGGGGGGGTTCGTGTCTCATTACCTCCTGGAAAAGTCTCGGATCTGCACCCAAGGCCCTGAGGAGAGGAACTACCACATCTTCTACAGACTGTGTGCAGGAGCTCCAGAGGACATGAGGGAGAAGCTCCACCTCAAAGCCCCAGACACCTTCAGGGTAAGACCAGGACCAGGACCAGGACCAGGACCAGGACCAGGACTAAACCAGGACCAGGACCAGGACTAAACCAGGACAGGACAAGGACTAGACTAGGACCATCACTGGACCAGGACTGGACCAAGATTAGAGGACCCCCTTATCCTCCAAACAAAATAAATTCAAATTAAACCAGGACTGAACCAGAATTAAATAAGAACTGAACCAATGCAAGACCAGAACTAGACCAGGCCTGAACCAGGATTAAACCAGGTCTAAACCAGGTCTAAACCAGGTCTAAATGTGGTCTAAACCAGGTCCAAACCAGGTCTAAATGTGGTCTAAACCAGGTCTAAACCAGATCTAAACCAGGTCTAAACCAGGTCTAAACCAGGTCTAAATGTGGTCTAAACCAGGTCTAAACCAGGTCTAAACCAGGTCTAAATGTGGTCTAAACCAGGTCTAAACCAGGTCTAAACCAGGTCTAAACCAGGTCTAAACCAGGTCTAAACCAGGTCTAAATGTGGTCTAAACCAGGTCTAAACCAGGTCTAAACCAGGTCTAAACCAGGACTAAACCAGGTCTAAACGTGGTCTTCATCGTGCGTGTCTCTTGTTGTTGTGTCTGTGTGGAGGTTGTGGGTTAGATTCCTGAGCTCTGAAGGCCAAACAGAGGAAAGTGTCGGTGACTCACAGACGCTCGAGTTTAACACAAACATAAAACCAGAGTCAAGGTTTGGACGGAGCCGCGTGGGCAAAGACCTGACAGCAGAACTGAAACTGGACTAAACCAGGACTAATGTCTGGTCTGGTACAGTCTGGTCTGGTCTGGTACAGTCCCATCTGGTCTGGTCTGGTCCGGTCTGGTCTGGTCCGGTCCGGTCTGGTCTGGTCTGGTACAGTCCGGTCTGGTCTGGTCTGGTACAGTCCGGTCTGATCTGGTCTGGTACAGTCTGGTCTGGTCTGGTCTGGTCTGGTACAGTCTGGTACAGTCTGGTACAGTCTGGTCTGGTCCGGTCTGGTCTGGTCTGGTCTGGTCTGGACAGTCCGATCTGGTCTGGTCTGGTCTGGTAAGTCTGGTCTGGTCCGGTAGGTCCGGTCTGGTCTGGTCTGGTACAGTCCGGTCTGGTCTGGTACAGTCCGGTCTGGTCTGGTACAGTCTGGTCTGGTCTGGTCTGGTCTGGTACAGTCTGGTACAGTCTGGTACAGTCTGGTCTGGTCCGGTCTGGTCTGGTACAGTCCGGTCTGGTCTGGTACAGTCTGGTCTGGTCTGGTCTGGTACAGTCTGGTCTGGTCCGGTCTGGTCTGGTCTGGTCTGGTTGTTTTCATCTGTTCTTGTGTTTGTTTGTTTTTCAGTACCTGAACAAAGGCTGCACCAGATTCTTCGCCTCCAAAGAAACCGACAAACAGATTCCACAAAACCGCAAGAGTCCAGAGGTGAGGGAGGGCATCTGACACAAACTGACACGAACTGACTCACGGGAGGGCATCTGACACAAATCTGACTCAATCTGACACAAACTGACACAAACAAAAGAGGGCATCTGACTGTTTGACGCTTTTGACTAAAGGAGGACTGAACCAGGACTAAACCAGGTCTAAACCAGGTCTAAACCAGGACTAGACCAGGACTAAACCAGGTCTAAACCAGGTCTTAACCAGGTCTAAACCAGGTCTAAACCAGGTCTAAACCAGGACTAAACCAGGACTAGACCAGGACTAGACCAGGACTTCATCAGAAACTTTCCGATTCCAAAAGAGAAAATCCTGGAGTTTGAAATGAGTTTTTAAAATGAGTCTCTTGAGTTCACAAACTCGTCTCACTTCGTCTGATTTCACAGAAAAACGATCTTTTTCAAAACTCATATCCCGCGTTTGTCGCCTCGGAGACGGAGATCGATCCTGCGCGGCGGCGGCGGCGGCGGCAGCCTCCCTCCCCCGGGCGCCGCGACACCACAACACCACGACACCGCGACACCATGACACCACGACACCGCGGCACCGCTCTGTCTGCGGCGCTCGGCACATTTAAACCTCCTGTCAGAGCCCGAGACCCGCACAGCTCTAAAACTCTAAAACTCTAAAACTCTGAACCTCTGAATCTGAGCCGGGTTAGGGTCTGGGTCTGGGCCGGGGCCGGGGCCGGGGTCTGGGTCTGGGTCTGGGCCGGGGTCTGGGGCAGGACTCTGACAGGAAACCGCAGGGAGCTCCAGGTGCCACAGGGGGGCGCATTGTTGACCTCACCTGCCTGTCCTCGTCAGAGTGACGTGTGTTTGTGCTGCGGAAAAGGACAAAATTTAAGACATAATGAAAGAAAATGACTTAAAAATAGAGAAATGTTCTGTTTGTGCAACGACTCTTAAAACGACCTCTAGACGAGAAAGAACCTGAAAATAAATTCTCAGATGCCACATTCTAGATACATTGCTTTAAATCTGCTAAATTGTAGATTAAATGCTTTTAATTTGGTTAAATTCTAGATTAATTACTTGAAATTCTGCCAAATTCTAGATAAAATTATTTAAATTCTGCCAAATTCTACATAAATAGCTGTAAATTCTGCCAAATTGTAGATAAATTACTTAAAACTTTCCCAAATTCAATAAAATGTTTTTAATTCTGCCCAATTCTAGATACATTTTTTTTTAATTCTACCAAATTCTAGATAAATTGCTTTAAATTCTGCTAAATTGTAGACACATTACTTAAAATTTTTCCAAATTCTAGATTAAATGCTTTTAATTTGGCTAAATTCTAGATTAATTACTTTAATTCTGCCAAATTCTAGATAAAATTATTTAAATTCTGCTAAATTCTAGATAAATTTAAAAAAAAATCTGCCAAATTCTAGATAAATGTCTTTAGATTTAGTTAAATTCTAGATACATTGCTGTAAATTCTGTCAAAGTCTAGATATAATTGCTTTAAATTCTGCCAAATTCTAGATAAAATTATTTAAATTCTGCCAAATTCTAGATAAAATTATTTAAATTCTGCTAAATTGTAGATAATAAAAAAAAAATCTGCCAAATTCTAGATAAATGTCTTTAGATTTAGCTAAATTCTAGATAAATTGCTGTAAATTCTGTCAAAGTCTAGATATATTGCTTTAAATTCTGCCAAATTCTAGATAAAATTATTTAAATTCTGCCAAATTCTAGATACATTTTTTAAAAATCTGCCAAATCTAGATAAATTGCTTTAGATTCTGCCAAATTGTAGATAAAATTATTTAAATTCTGCCAAATTCTAGATAAAATTATTTAAATTCTGCCAAATTCTAGATACATTTTTTAAAAATCTGCCAAATCTAGATAAATTGCTTTAGATTCTGCCAAATTGTAGATAAAATGCTTTAAATTTGGCTAAATTCTAGATAAATTGACTTAAAACCAGTTTATGATCAGTGTTCATGACCTGATAATAAATTCTCAGATGTTAAATTGTAGATAGAAAATCTTAAATCAGTCTGACCTGATGTTAGTTCGTTCATGCTCATTATAAACTGGTTTTAAGTTTGTTTATCGAGAATTTAACAGAATTTAAAGCATTTTATCTAGAATTTGGCATCTGAGAATTTATTATCAGGCCATGAACACTTTCTAAGTCTGTTTATCTCAAACTGAGCATCTGTAAATATTTCCAGCCCTGAGACTTTTTCATTCTCGTCTCGACGTCGATTATTTTAAAAGAACTTGTCCAGTAAAATGATTTTGCCACATGGACAGAACATTTCAACACTTTAAAGTCATTTTCTGATGGAGAAAATGTAAGATATAAACATTTAATTCTGTCAGTCTGTCCCAGGGCAGATGTGGCCACAGCTGCAGCTCCACCTCAGAGTCTGGAGAAAACAAAAACTGAACCGTAAACTGAACTTTAAACTGAACTTTAAACTGAACTTTAAACTGAACTTTAAACTGTTAAAGAGTCTTTGGGCCTGAAAGGAACAACGAGTCATTCACTGATTTAATATACAACTCCTGAACCAGGACTAAACCAGGACTAAACCAGGACTAAACCAGGACTAAACCAGGACTAAACCAGGACTAAACCAGGACTAAACCAGGACTAAACCAGGACTAAAAACTAAACCAGGACTAAACCAGGACTAAACAAGGACTGAACCAGGACTAAAACAGAACCAATCCACAACAACAAACCAACAGACCTGGAGTTGTGTTTTTTTGTTTTTTTTGTTTCATTCACTTTTCTCTTCAAACACAAAACACTCTGTTCCACCTTGTGATGTCATGCTGTGATACGGGACGTGCTCCACTGCGTTTTTAAACTCCACACACCTTCACGACCTTCACTTTTGGATCGTTTCAGCCACTGGAATCGCCATTTTATTTTTGACTTCTGAATTAAAAATAAAAGCAGCTGTTCACTTGAAAACGACCACTTGATGACATCACGAGGTGGACCAGAGCGTTTAGAGGTTTAGAGATTTAGACAGACTAAAAATAAAGGATTAAAAAACATAAAAAACCAAAACTCCAGGTCTGTTTTTGAGGTCGGGTCTGGGAGATTTTGTGGTTCTGATTTTCTCGTTCGGTTTTTAAAAAAATCCGTCACAGTGAAAATAAAATATTCGGAGGATTTTTGTTGCGTTGGTGTTTTTATTTTTTAATAAACTCAAACGGTTTCGAAAAGCGCCGCACGGAGACGGAAAACAATAAAACAACACAAAAGAAATAAACGGTGGATTTGATCTCGGTCGTCCCAGAACAATAAAAACAACAACAACAACGACGACGACGAGAGTCTGAGCAGAAGAAGAAGAAGAAGAAGAAGAAGAAGAGACTGGACCAGGACTAAACCAGGACTAAACCAGGACTGAACCAAAGACTGGACCAGGACTAGACCAGGACTAGACCAGGACTAAAACAGGACTAGACCAGGACTAAACCAGGACTAGACCAGGACTAAACCAGGACTAAAACAGGACTAGACCAGGACTAGACCAGGACTAAAACAGGACTAAACCAGGACTAGACCAGGACTAAACAGGACTAAACCAGGACTAGGACTAAACCAGGACTAAACCAGGACTAAAGGACTAAACAGGACTAGACCAGGACTAAACCAGGACTGAAACCAGGAAAGACTAGGACCAGGACTAAACCAGGACTAAACCAGGACTAACCAAACTGGACCAGGACTAAGACCAGGACTAGACCAGGACTGAACCAAAGACTGGAAAACCAGGACTAAACCAGGACTAAACCAGGACTGAACCAAAGGACTGGACCAGGACTAGGACCAGGACTAGACCAGGACTAAACCAGGACTAAACCAGGACTGAACCAAAGGACTGGACCAGGACTAAACCAGGACTAAACCAGGTCTAAACTGAACCAGGAAGACTGGAAACCAGGACTAGACCAGGACTAGACCAGGACTAAACAGGACTAAAACAGGAACTAGACCAGGACTAAACCAGGACTAGGACCAGGACTAAACCAGGACTGAACCAGGACTAAAACAGGACTAAAACAGGACTAGACAGGGACTAAACCAGGACTAGACCAGGACTAGACCAGGACTAACCAGGACTAAACCAGGACTAAACCAGGTCTAAACCAGGATTAAACCAAGACTAAAACCAGGACTAAATCCGGATTAAAACCAGGTCTAAACCAGGATTACACCATGACTAAACCAGGTCTAAACCAGGGCTAAACCAGGACTAAACCAGGACTAAAACCAGGACTAGACCAGGACTAAAACAGGACTAAACAGGACTAAACCAGGACTAACTAAACCAGGACTAACCAGGACTAAACCAGGACTAAACCAGGACTAGACCAGGACTAAAACAGGACTAGACCAGGACTAGACCAGGACTAGACCAGGACTAAACCAGGACTAAACCAGGACTAAACCAGGACTAAACCAGGACTAAAACCAGGTTAAACCAGGTCTAAACAGGACTAGACCAGGACTAGACCAGGACTAGACCAGGACTAAAACAGGGACTAACCAGGACTAAACCAGGACTAAACCAGGACTAAACCAGGACTAAACCAGGACTAAACCAGGTCTAAGACTAACAGGACTAAACCAGGACTAGACCAGGACTAAAACAGGACTAGACCAGGACTAAAACAGGACTAAAACAGGACTAGACCAGGACTAGACCAGGAAACTAACCAGGACTAAACCAGGTCTAAACCAGGTCTAAACCAGGACTAGACCAGGACTAGACCAGGACTAAAACAGGACTAAAACAGGACTAGACCAGGACTAGACCAGGACTAAACCAGGACTAAACCAGGGCTAAACCAGGACTAAACCAGGACTAGACCAAGTACATTTCAAATACTTTTTTTCCCCATAGACAGATAATACTCCCTACAACTGTACAACAACTCACACTTATGTAAAATGTTCTTGTTTCTTCTCCTCATGTTCTCCTCATGTTCTCCTCATGTTCTCCTCATGTTCTCCTCATGTTCTCCTCATGTTCTCCTCATGTTCTCATGTTCTCGTGGTTCTCCTCATGTTCTCCTCATGTTCTCCTCATGTTCTCCTCATGTTCTCCTCATGTTCTCCTCATGTTCTCCTCATGTTCTCCTCATGTTCTCCTCATGTTCTCGTGGTTCTCCTCATGTTCTCCTCATGTGGTTCTCCTCATGTTCTCCTCATGTTCTCCTCATGTTCTCGTGGTTCTCTCATGTTCTCCTCTCCTCATGTTCTCGTGGTTCTCCTCATGTTCTCTCATGTGTTCTCCTCATGTTCTCCTCATGTGGTTCTCCTCATGTTCTCTCCTCATGTTCTCCTCATGTTCTCCTCATGTTCTCCTCATGTTCTCATGTTCTCGTGTTCTCCTCATGTTCTCCTCATGTTCTCCTCATGTTCTCGTGGTTCTCCTCATGTTCTCGTGGTTCTCCTCATGTTCTCCTCATGTTCTCGTGGTTCTCCTCATGTTCTCCTCATGTTCTCCTCATGTTCTCGTGGTTCTCCTCATGTTCTCCTCATGTTCTCCTCATGTTCTCGTGGTTCTCCTCATGTTCTCCTCATGTTCTCCTCATGTTCTCGTGTTCTCCTCATGTTCTCCTCATGTTCTCCTCATGTTCTCCTCATGTTCTCGTGTTCTCCTCATGTTCTCCTCATGTTCTCCTCATGTTCTCCTGTTCTCATGTTCTCCTCATGTTCTCCTCATGTTCTCCTCATGTTCTCCTCGTGGTTCTCCTCATGTTCTCCTCATGTTCTCCTGTGGTTCTCCTGCAGCACGTGAAGAGCGGTCCGTTGAAGGATCCTCTCCTGGACGATCGTCTGGATTTTAACCGGATGAGCGACGCCATGAAGAAGATCGGCCTGGACCAATCAGAGAAGCTGGATCTGTTCAGGACGGTGGCGGGCGTCATGCACCTGGGCAACGTCGACTTCGAGGAGGCGGGCAGTACTTCAGGTGTGTACAAATACTACAAATACTACAAGTACTATTACTGCACCTGGGCAACGTCGACTTCGAGGAGGCGGGCAGTACTTCAGGTGTGTACAAATACTACAAATACTACAAGTACTACTACTACAAGTACTATTACTGCACCTGGGCAACGTCGACTTCGAGGAGGCGGGCAGTACTTCAGGTGTGTACAAATACTACAAATACTACAAGTACTACTACTGCAAGTACTATTACTGCACCTGGGCAACGTCGACTTCCAGGAGGCGGGCAGTACTTCAGGTGTGTACAAATACTACAAATACTACAAGTACTACTACTACAAGTACTATTACTGCACCTGGGCAACGTCGACTTCCAGGAGGCGGGCAGTACTTCAGGTGTGTACAAATACTACAACTGCAAATACCATTACTGCAAATACTAGTAGAAATGACTCAGACGCAGTGGGTCACATCACAAAATATTACAACCTTCAGTTTAATAGAAAAAACACACGTCCAGGTCATGTGACGTCAGAACGTTGGGGTCAGAAGTTGAAAAAGCTGAAGTTTTAGCGTCAGACGCGTCACATCAGCCAATCAGAGACGAGTTTGCAGGAACGAAGCGACGTTATTACCCAGAGGAGAAAAAAGAAAAACCCACAAACACCAGAAGAAGAAACTCTCCACCGTGAACTCAAATGAAAAGGCTCCAAATCGAGACGTCGAGGGCGTTTTTACTCTCTGGTCTGAACGTGGCTTAAAAGAGCACGACGTCACCCACAGAGTTCAGCTCAAATGAAGCTCATTGAGGCCAGCGCTTCTCGTGGCAAATCTACAGCTGGAGGTTTTATTTAGAAATCCAGATGCACAATCAACGCCCCGTCCCCGCCCACACTGTTGTCTGAGCAACGCTGTCAATCAAACCTGTTTCTACCACTGCAGGAGTGACGTCACAGAAAGAAGGCGTCTGATTGGTCAGTTATTCATGTCCTCTCTCGTTTTCTGCCTCGCTCCGGCCTCGCTCCGGCCTCGCTCCGCCCTCGCTCCGCCCTCGCTCCGCCCTCGCTCCGCCCTCGCTCCGGCCTCGCTCCGCCCTCGCTCCGCCCTCGCTCTCCGGCCTCGCTCCGGCCTCGCTCCGCCTCGCTCCGGCCTCGCTCCGGCCTCGCTCCGGCCTCGCTCGCCTCGCTCCGCCCTCGCTCCGGCCTCGCTCCGCCTCGCTCCGCCCTCGCTCCGGCCTCGCTCCGGCCTCGGGGACGTGTAAACCTGTTCTTCTAACTGTTCTCCTCAGATCTTCTCTCGTGTTAAAGTCGTTTCTCTTCATGTTCGTCTGAAGTCGTGTTCGTGTTTGAGGAATCGTTACTCATTTATTTTTAATTCTAGAGCAAACGCCAGCGCCGTATGTCTGATTTATAATCACACTGTGCTGCTTTAGACCTGGTTTAGTCCTGGTTTAGACCTGGTTTAGTCCTGGTTTAGTCCTGGTTTAGTCCTGGTTTAGACCTGGTTTAGTCCTGGTTTAGTCCTGGTTTAGACCTGGTTTATCCTGGTTTAGACCTGGTTTAGTCCTGGTTTAGTCCTGGTTTAGTCCTGGTTTAGACCTGGTTTAGTCCTGGTTTTGTCCTGGTTTAGTCCTGGTTTAGACCTGGTTTAGTCCTGGTTTAGACCTGGTTTAGTCCTGGTTAGTCTGGTTTAGTCCTGGTTTAGTCTGGTTTAGACCTGGTTTAGTCCTGGTTTAGTCTGGTTTAGCAGTCCTGGTTTAGTCCTGGTTTAGACCTGGTTTAGTCCTGGTTTAGACTGGTTTAGTCCTGGTTTAGTCCTGGTTTAGACCTGGTTTAGTCCTGGTTTAGTCCTGGTTTAGTCCTGGTTTAGTTCCGTCCCCTGGGGCAGTATCAGAGCGCTCAGTTGGAGTCCACTTAAACACTTCTCTCATCTCAGCAGGACGCCTCTCTCCTCCTCTTCATCCCTCTCTCCTCCTCTTCATCCCTCTCTCCTCCTCTTCATCCCTCTCTCCTCCTCTTCATCCCTCTCTCCTCCTCTCTTTTCCTCCCTCTCTTTTCCTCTCTTTCCTCTTTCCTCTCTCCTCCCTCGCTCCGCGGGGGGCGTCTTTCACACTAAATGCAGACTTCATGTAACCAGGGTCAAAAAGGATTAAAAAGAAACTACAACCCCCATGTAACCGTTTAGTCCTGGTTTAGACCTGGTTTAGACCTGGTTTAGACCTGGTTTAGACCTGGTTTAGACCTGGTTTAGTCCTGGTTTAGACCTGGTTTAGTGGTTTAGTCCTGGTTTAGACCTGGTTTAGACCTGGTTTAGACCTGGTTTAGACCTGGTTTAGACCTGGTTTAGACCTGGTTTAGTCCTGGTTTAGACCTGGTTTAGTCCTGGTTTAATCCTGGTTTAGTCCTGGTTTAGTCCTAGTTTAGACCTGCTTTAGTCCTGGTTTAGACCTGGTTTAGTCCTGGTTTAGTCCTGGTTTAGTCCTGGTTTAGACCTGGTTTAGTCCTGGTTTAGTCCTGGTTTAGTCCTGGTTTAGACCTGCTTTAGTCCTGGTTTAGACCTGGTTTAGTCCTGGTTTAGTCCTGGTTTAGACCCTGGTTTAGTCCTGGTTTAGTCCTGGTTTAGACCTGGTTTAGACCTGGTTTAGACCTGGTTTAGTTTAGACCTGGTTCAGTCCTGGTTTAGTCCTGATTTAGTCCAGGTTTAGACCTGGTTTAGTCCAGGTTTAGACCTGTTTTAGTCCTGGTTTAGTCCTGGTTTAGACCTGGTTTAGTCCTGGTTTAGTCCTGGTTTAGTCCTGGTTTAGACCTGGTTTAGTCCTGGTTTAGTCCTGGTTTAGACCTGGTTTAGACCTGGTTTAGTCTGGTTTAGACCTGGTTTAGACCTGGTTTAGTCCTGGTTTAGACCTGGTTTAGACCTGGTTTAGTCCTGGTTTAGACCTGGTTTAGTCCTGGTTTAGACCTGGTTTAGTCCTGGTTTAGTCCTGGTTTAGTCCTGGTTTACCTGTTTAGACCTGGTTTAGACCTTGGTTTAGACCTGGTTTAGTCCTGGTTTACCTGGTTTAGACCTGGTTTAGTCCTGGTTTAGACCTGGTTTAGTCCTGGTTTAGTCCTGGTTTAGATCCTGGTTTTAGTCCTGGTTTAGACCTGGTTTAGACCTGGTTTAGTCCTGGTTTAGACCTGGTTTAGACCTGGTTTAGTCCTGGTTTAGACCTGGTTTAGTGGTTTAGACCTGGTTTAGTCCTGGTTTAGTCCTGGTTTTAGTCCTGGTTTAGTCCTGGTTTAGTCCTGGTTTAGACCTGGTTTAGACCTGGTTTAGACCTGGTTTAGTCCTGGTTTAGTCCTGGTTTAGACCTGGTTTAGACCTGGTTTAGACCTGGTTTAGACCTGGTTTAGTCCTGGTTTAGACCTGGTTTAGTCCTGGTTTAGACCTGGTTTAGTCCTGGTTTAGTCCTGGTTTAGTCCTGGTTTAGACCTGGTTCCTGGTTTAGACCTGGTTTAGTCCTGGTTTAGACCTGGTTTAGACCTGGTTTAGACTGGTTTAGACCTGGTTTTAGTCCTGGTTTAGTCCTGGTTTAGTCCTGTTTAGTCCTGGTTTAGACCTGGTTTAGACCTGGTTTAGACCTGGTTTAGTCCTGGTTTAGACCTGGTTTAGACCTGGTTTAGTCCTGGTTTAGACCTGGTTTAGACCTGGTTTAGTCCTGGTTTAGTCCTGGTTTACCTGGTTTAGACCTGGTTTAGACCTGGTTTAGTCCTGGTTTAGACTGGTTTAGACTGGTTTAGTCCTGGTTTAGACCTGGTTTAGACCTGGTTTGTGGACGTGTGGGAGTTTGTCCTTCAGACTTTTACCTTTTTTGGAAATAAGTAAAAACAGATCATTGTTTCCATGGTGACCACCTGACAACAGCTCTGACAAACGATTCACCTAAAACAATTCACCTCAAACGATTCTTCTCAAACGATTCTTCTCAAACGATTCCTGATGATTCCTCTCACACTGTTACTCTGTCAAATGGTTCCTCCCCCTGGGTTTTGTCTGTCAGGCTCGTTTTCTCCTAACGTCAGACTCACATTCAGATAATTGCCCAGTGTTTAGTCTGTCAGGCTCGTCGCTCTCGTCACATCACATGGAGAAGTTCAGAGGAGCCGATGCTCACGGAACATCAGATCTGAACGTCAATCCAGGATGGAGCCGTGGTGTTTTCTGTGACTTGTGCTCGTTGGAGTGTCGCGCGTTATCGCCTGAACACTGACCTCGCGCCGCAAAACATGTGACAACAGAAACCTGCAGTTCCGACCAATCAGAGTGTGAGCTTTGAGAGCGGAGCGAGAAGAGCGAGGGCGAGTCTAACAAAACTTTAGGAGCTTTGAGGATTAAAAAATTCTAAAAAAGTTCATATTTACTGCGTTTACATGAACATCAGTTTCCTACGGAAGAGGGGTCATAACAAACGCAAACGCCGCAACAAATACAAATGTGCCAGCACGTTAAAAAGCCACAACACGTTAAAAAGCCACAACACGTTAAAAAGCCACAACACGTTAAAAAGCCACAACACGTTAAAAAGCCACAACACGTTAAAAAGCCACAGCACGTTAAAAAGCCACAACACGTTAAAAAGCCACAACACGTTAAAAAGCCACAACACGTTAAAAAGCCACAACACGTTAAAAAGCCACAACACGTTAAAAAGCCACAACACGTTAAAAAGCCACAACGGAAGTGACCGCGAAACAAATAACGATAAAACAATAAATTACTTTTACTTACGTTTCCAACTTCCTTTACTTTTCACGTTGTAGTTCTTCTTCTTCACTCGCCGCTTGATCGGTCCGTCGGAAAATAGAGTCCCGCGGTCATTCAAAAAGTAACTGTAACCGAATACAGTTACTCATCATTTGTACTCTGATTACATAACTCGGGTACATGTAATCTGTTACTCCCAACACTGGTTATGGATCTGTGATTTATGTGGACAGTTTAAGGCAGAAGTGTCAGACTCAAACTCACAGACGCCAAAATGAAAAACTGGGATTTAGTCTTGGGCCAAACTAAATATTTATTGAAACATTTCACCATCATCTGCAGGTTTTCTCTGTCATGTTAAACCTTTTCTTATTCAAATAAATATTTAATCATAGTTTTGCTTAAAGCAAAACATAAAATAATAACAACATTTTAAATAAATCATGTGTCTGTAGTCGATCTGTGTGCGTCTGCAGCTCGAAAACATGTTTGATTTGATCTCACGGGACAAATATAATTATATCACGGGCTAAATTTGGCCCCCGGGCCTGAGTTTGAAAAATCTGTTTTATGGGTCTCACGTTATTGTCTCCCTGGTTCTTGTCTCTCAGGCTCTTCTTCTTTAACATGTCGTGTGTTTTTCTCCCTGTTCTTTGTCTGTCAGGCGGCTGTGCTCTTCTGTTTAACATGTCGCAAAAAAATTAAAAATAAAAACAAAAAAATTAAATTAAATTAAATAAAAAAACAAAACAAAAACAAAAAAAACAGAAAGAAAAGGATAAAAATAAATAAATAAATAAATAAATATAAGATAAAATAAAAAAAATAAAATAAATAAAAAGAACAGAAAAATAAAAAAAATAATAAAACAAAACAATAAATAAATTAAAAAAGAAAAACATGTCATGAATTTTTCCCTGTTCCTTGTCTGTCAGGCGGCTGTGCTCTTGTGTTTAACATGTCGTGTGTTTTTCCCTGTTCCTTGTCTGTCAGGCGGCTGTGCTCTTGTGTTTAACATGTCGTGTGTTTTTCCCTGTTCCTTGTCTGTCAGGCGGCTGTGCTCTTGTGTTTAACATGTCGTGTGTTTTTCCCCTGTTCCTTGTCTGTCAGGCGGCTGTGCTCTTGTGTTTAACATGTCGTGTGTTTTTCCCTGTTCCTTGTCTGTCAGGCGGCTGTGCTCTTGTGTTTAACATGTCGTGTGTTTTTCCCTGTTCCTTGTCTGTCAGGCGGCTGTGCTCTTCTTTAACATGTCGTGTGTTTCTCCCTGTTCCTTGTCTGTCAGGCGGCTGTGCTCTTCTTTTAACATGTCGTGTGTTTCTCCTGTTCCTTGTCTGTCAGGCGGCTGTGCTCTTCTTTAACATGTCGTGTGTTTCTCCCTGTTCCTTGTCTGTCAGGCGGCTGTGCTCTTGTGTTTAACATGTCGTGTGTTTTTCCCTGTTCCTTGTCTGTCAGGTGGCTGTGCTCTTCTTTAACATGTCGTGTGTTTCTCCCTGTTCCTTGTCTGTCAGGCGGCTGTGCGATCCGTCACCAGAGCAGTGAGTCGGTGTCGTTCTGTGCCGAGCTCTTGGGTCTGGAGCAGGACGACCTCAGGGTCAGTCTGACCTCCAGAGTCATGCTGACCACAGCAGGGGGCGCCAAAGGGACCGTCATCAAGTGAGTACTGGGATCTGTGTCAGATGCCCTTCCCGTGATCTGAACCGGGACTGAACCGGGACTGAACCGGGACCGGGACTAAACCTGGACTAAACCTGGACTAAACCTGGACTAAACCTGGACTAAACCTGGACTAAACCAGGAGTAAACCAGGACTAAACTCGGACTAAACCAGGACTAAGCATGGTCTAAACCAGGACTACACTAGGACTAAACTAAGACTAAACCAAGTCTAAACCAGGACTGAACCACTCAGACTAATCAAGGACGAAAGTGTCAGATGCCCTCCCCGTGTGTGTCAGGTGCCCTCCCCGTGTGTGTCAGGTGCCCTCCTCCCCGTGTGTGTCAGGTGCCCTCCCTCCCCGTGTGTGTGGTGCCCTCAGTGTGTCCCTCCCTCCCCGTGTGTGTCAGGTGCCCTCCTGTGTCAGGTCCCCGTGTGTGTCAGGTGCAGGTGCCCTCCCTCCCCGTGTGTGTCAGGTGCCCTCCCCTCCCCGTCAGTGCCCGTGTGTGTCAGGTGCCCTCCCCCGTGTGTGTCAGGTGTGAGGTGGCCTCCCCGTGTGTGTCAGTGTGTGTGTCAGGTGCCCTCCCGTGTGTGTCAGGTCCCTCCCTCCCCGTGTGTGGTCAGGTGCCCCTCCCTCCCTGTGTGTGTGTCAGGTGCCCTCCCCGTGTGTGTGTCAGGTGTGTGTGTCCTCCCCGTGTGTGTCAGGTGCCCTCCCCGTGTGTGTCAGGTGCCCTGTGTGTCAGGTGCCCTCCCTCCCCGTGTGTGTCAGGTGGCCCTCCCCGTGTGTCAGTCAGTGTGGCCCTCCCGTGTGTCCCGTGTGTGTCAGGTGCCCTCCTCCCCGTGTGTGTTCAGGTGCCCGTGTGTGTCAGGTGCCCTCCTCCCCTCGTGTGTGTCAGGTGCCCTCCCCGTGTGTGTCAGGTGCCCTCCTCCCCGTGTGTGTCAGGTGCCCTCCCCGTGTGTGTGACTTTCATGTTTAATCAGTTGTTGTTCCGTCTGTTTCCTTCGGGGGGCGACACAGTCACACGTCTCAGGTTAATGTGAAATTTGTCCTTAAACGTCTCACAGGAATAAAACCAGGTCTAAACCAGGTCTAAACCAAACCAGGACTAAACCAGGACTAAACCAGGTCTAAACCAGGTCTAAACCAGGTCTAAACCAGGACTAAACCAGGACTAAACCAGGAAACCAGGTCTAAACCAGGACTAAACCAGGTCTAAACCAGGACTCTAAACCAGGACTAAACCAGGACTAAACCAGGTAAACCAGGTCTAAACCAGGTCTAAACCAGGACTAAACAACCAGGTCTAAACCAGGAAAACCAGGTCTAAACCAGGTAAACCAGGTAAACCAGGTCTAAACAGGTCTAAACCAGGTAAACCAGGTCTAAACCAGGACTAAACCAGGTCTAAACCAGGACTAAACCAGGTCTAAACGGTCCAGGACTAAACCAGGTCTAAACCAGGAAACCAGGACTCTAAACCAGGTCTAAACCAGGACTGAGGGACATATGTTGAAGATGATGGAGAGATTAAAGCTCTAATCAGGGACATGTCCTCAAACTCATCTGCAGGATCATAACAAACACTCCTCCTCTCTCTCTCTCTCTCTCTCTCTCTCTCTCTCTCTCTCTCTCTCTCTCTCCTCCTCTGCATCCCTCCTTCACTCTCTCTGTCTTCATCTTTCTCTTTTTCCCCTCCTCAATCTTTTCCTCTTCTCCTCTTCTTTCTTTCTCTGCTTTTCTCTTTCTCTTTCTTTCCTCCTCTATCCCTCTTTCTCTCTTCTTTCTTCTTTCTTTCTTTCTTTCTCTACGTTCCTCTCTTTCTTTCCTCTTCTCTCTCCTCTTTTTCCCCTCTATCTCTCTGTCCCTCTTCCCTCTCTCCTCCCCTCCTCCAATCTTTATCCTCCTTTCCTGCTCTCTCCTCCCTCCATCCATCTCTCTACCCCTCTTTCTCTCTCTCTCTCTCCTTCTCCTCCCTCTCTCTATCCTCTTCTTCCCCTCCTCCACATCTCCCTCTCTCCTCTCCTCCTCGATCCATCTCTCCCTCCCATCCCCCTCTCCTCTCTTTCCTCTGTCTCTCCCTTCTTCTCTCTCCTCCCCTCCTACGCTCCCTGTCCCCATCCCCCTCTCATCTCCTCCCTCCTCCACTTTTTCTCCCCCTCTTTTCTCTCTTTTTCTCCCTCTCTCTCTCTCTCTCTCTCTCTCCCTCTCTCCGTCTCTGTCGCTTTCTTCTCTTTCTCTTTCTTTCTCTCTCTTCTCTCTCTTTTCTCTCTCCCTCCCTCCTTCTCTTCTCTCTCTCTTTCTACCTCTCCCGCTCTTCTCTCTCCTCCCTCCCTCCTACTCTTCTTTCTCTTCTCTCCCTCTTTTCTTTTTCCCCTCTCCTCATCCCTCTCTCTCTTTTCTCTCTCTCTCTACCTCTCTCCTCTCCCTCTCCTCTCCCTCTCTTCTCTCTTTCTCTTTCTTTCTCTCTCTTCTGTCTCTCTCTCTTCCGCTCCTCTCTTCCTTTCTCTCTCCTCTCTTCTCTCTTTCTTTCTCTCTCTCTCTTCTCTCTCTCTCCCTCTCTCTCTCTTTTTTCTCTCTCTCTCCTTCTCTCTCTCCCTCTCTTCTCTCTTTCTCTTCCTTTCTCTCTCTTCTCTCTCTCTCTCTCCCTCTCTCTCTCTTTTCTCTCTCTCTCTTCTCTCTCCTCTCTCTCTCTTTTCTCTCTCTCTCTCTCTCTCTCTCTCTCTCTCCCTCTCTCTCTCCCTCTCTTCTCTCTTTCTTTCTGTCTTCTGTCTCTCTCTCTCCCTCTCTCTTTTCTCTCTCTCTCCCTCTCTTCTCTCCCTCTCTCTCTCCCCCTCTCTTCTCTCTTTCTCTTTCTTTCTCTCTCTTCTGTCTCTCCCTCTCCTCTTCTCTCCCTCTCTGTTTCGTTCTCTCTCTCTCATCTCCCCCTCTTCTCTCCGTCTCTCTCCTCTCTCTCTCCTCCTTTGCTCTTCTTTCTTTCTTCCTCTCCCTCTCTTCTACTCTCTCCCCCTCCTCCCTCTTTCCTCTTCATTCCCTCTTTTTCCCCTCTACCTCTCTGTCGCTCTTCTCTCTCCCTCTCTCCTCTCCTCCCCTTATCCATCTCTCTCTCTTTCTCTCTCCCTTCCTCTCTATCCTCCTCTTCCTCCTCTCCTACGCTCCCTGTCCCCTTCTCTCCTCCCTCCATCTTTCTCTCTCTTGTCTCTTTCTCCGTGTCTCTGTCTCTCTCTCTCTCTCTCTCTCTCTCTCTCTCTCTCTCTCTCTCTCTCTCTCCCTCTCTCTCTCCTCCCTCTCTCTCTCTCTCTCTCTCTCTC